TCTGGTAACCTCACTATTCCGTCTTCTTGGATGCTGCACAGCAGCACTACCAGAAGTTATTTTTGGAAATAAGGTGGGGGAGGGAAGATGGTTAGGAAAGCTCCAAGATATCCAAAAAAACCACATGAGAACATTAAGCAGAACACACTAGCAAGAAATGCCTTTTTTTTTTTTTTTTGCGCCATATTCAGCATTTATTAGTGCAAGACATCGATTAGTATGAGTTTATAAGCTTCAAGAGCAGATCTGTCTTCTGGAAGTGGCAAAAAAGAACATCAGGATCCTCCTTTCAGTGGGTACTTTACTAAACAGGGGGGGCTGTATCAGTACTGCTAAGCCTGCTGGAACACACGTTGCTAAGTTCATCTACGTGACATAGCAGTGCAGGAATACATGAAAGTTTAGAATAAAAAGTGAGAATTATGTACGTTTCATGACCTTCAAACATTTCCACTGGTGCTCACACACTCAACAAACAAAGCAAGTCAGTACATGAATTCCCACAAACACCACTACTAGATCTTAAGTAAAATGCAAACTTAAATGAATCCAACGTTTTCAGAGAAGCCAGAAAACCTGTGTATACTATGGTATACCTACTAAAATACCCAGAAGTTCTAATTCTGTAGGAGTATACGTGTCTTTCAGAAGTAATACAACATATGTGCATGCATTTACACTTACATCTGATTTTTAGCCGCTTGTCTCTGAGCTTTCCGTTCTTTCCTTTTTTGATCTGGTGGCTTAGCAAAAACAATTTCAATGTTTTCTCCCTCTAAATCTTTGCCATTCATTTCTTCCATTGCCTGAAGAAATTAACCAGACTTTAAATATATTTCTAAGCATATCTGAAGTTATTAATTTTATCTTTTAGAGCATGAATTTTAAAATTTGCTATCCAGAGCTAAAATAACAATATATAGCTAAAAAAAAAATTTGAATAATGAGACAGCATAGAATTGTGGGTTCCAGAGTTATGCATTTCCTCTTAACTTGGCTCTCAAACCCAGGACTGCATGTATCAGTTCAGAAATCTTCCACTCAAAACTGTAAACAAGGCTTCAATCTTTGCAAGCTGTTTCAATTAATGAAGTGACAGAACTGTCCTCTGAAAGTACAGATTTTGCAATAAGAGAATAAATTTCTAATGTCAGCACACACGCAAACACTACTAAAGCTAGAGATCAGTGCACGCTTTTATTCCTTTATTTTACTTGTAATAAATGTAACTTTCTTTTTAAACCAGAACACAAAAATTAGAATTTAAACAGTCTCATTCTGACCACAAAAAACTCCCAAAACAAACCGCCAACAACAACAAAAAACCAAACCAAAACAAAAAAAAACCCCCACTAACAAACACACATGTACAATTCCCATGGGTCACAGTAATTGCTACAAGTTAAATTCAAGCAGGGGAATGCTAAAGATTCTACCACTGTTAGGGACTCTACATAGCTATGCCTTAATGGAATACAGATCCTATGAAAAGACTCTTTCCATCATCTTCCTAAGCATCTGCTTTAAGGCATCAGGATGAGTAAGAAAAACTGAATCCCCTTGGATCCTGCATCCTCCCACCAAACATAAAAAATAGATACACTATAGGTAGGAGAGGAATTACACTTTCCCTTCCTAACGACCGATCACAGAACAAAAAACACCAACACCAGGCTAGCTAAATCCAGGAATGACAATTATTCAATTGTCCAGCACCTCTCATCAGAAAGAAAAGGTGCTTATTCCACACCATTAAAAGGAAGTCATTCTGTTCTTGGAAAATAAAAAGATTACCTAAGTTTTTATCACCTGCCCTAGAGAAACTGCTTTAGATTCTACCAATGATTTGGTGAGAAAAATCATTCAGCTTCTGGCATTTCAGTTTCAAATGATAATACATATGATTATCTTAGATACTCATCAGCACAATTACTTAGGATAGGTGCATCTAAAATCCACTTTTCAAGCTAGCAACTGCATCTTCCTAAGAAACACCCAGAGAGGACAAAGTTACCAGTGACAGTGTGTTACCGTTTCTCCAGACAGAGCTTTCTGTCAAGTTAAAAGTAGTATACAGCTTCTAAATGTTTTCGTAGTCACTACTTACACACACACACAGTTACAGTCCTCTTCACTTACCTTTACAGCACCATCCCGTTCATCAAAATGAATGAAAGCATAGTCTTTTAGCTTCTTCACTCGCTCTAGCTTTCCAAATTGACTGAAGGCCTTTTCTAGTATCTCTTCTGTTACAGTATTGGCAAGATTGCGTACAAACAAAACTTTTACCTTTAAAAAAAAAGGGGGGGGGGGGGGGACTGGGTAGACTTAGAAGTATGATCTCATTCCAAAACACAAAATGAAATTTTGCAAGTCATTACTATTGACAGTACTGAAAACATCATTACATTTTATGTATAGCATTTTATATACATATACATAAATATGTATATTTATATGTGTATATTTATATATTGATACAGCATGAGTGAGCTCCAAAATTCCCTAATAGAAATATTAAATCTGTTTTCAAACATGATTACTTAAGTATTAGTATCCTGAAAGTCAATCCAATTTGTGTTAATGTTTAAAAGAATCCTAGCAGCAATGATTTTCAACTCAGAACACTTTCAAACTTGAAATAAGGCAACCAGGATTGGTTACACACAAGATAATTAACTTATCAAAACATTTCATTGTTTAGACAGGTTTTTGTCAGGTATTTGCAGAACAGTCATCACTGTAATATCTAGGTCAGAGGTGACAGACCTGCAGCTCTCAAGCTGCTTAACTTGTGGCTCCCATGCTACAGCTACACCAAATACCTAGCATCAGGACTGTGCTTGCCTGAGGAGCACTCAGTGACCTGAATCCACAGCTAGAAGAGAGAATGCAGGCAGAAGGGTACACTACGGCTGACGCTGCCAAGTCACTCTTGGACTTTCTCACAAGTCAAACTGCGTCCTTCCCTTGAGGAACAGCCACCTCCAAGTAACTCTGACAGTCTACTCCCTCCCCCAGCTCCATAAAGCATGCAATATGGCTCTTAAGCTACACAAAGACCACTATGCAGCTTATAAGATCAGAGAGGTTAGTTATCTTTCAACTATTGAGATATGCCCTGTTAACTGCCTGACAGTGACTAAATCATCAACATAAAGTTTCATCAACCACCAGCTGCTTACAATAAAAGAAAATAGAGCAGTCTGACAAAGGCTTAAACTACACTCTTATTTAATATAGCAGACAACATACACTGGATGCCAGGAATCACATATGTTAGTGACCCGTTAGTATTCAAAGACCTGTCCTTGCATCCATACTGAGGTTGCACTAAATGACTGTACATTCGCATGTTTGCATGGTGTCATTCATGAGTTCTCACAATTTACAAGCCCCTGACTTGTTGGGGAGAGTCCCTTGCATACATTGTCACCATGCCCTGACAGTCTAGTTCACCTCCTACTGCCAAAGAATGCCCACAGTCTTACCTTCCTACAATGCAGCTGCACATCAGCTGCAAAGACCTGCAACTTCTGTTCACATCCCCTCTGCTACTAGTGTTTTCAAACTAGCTGATGACAAAAAGTAAGTGAACATTGTACATGGCAGCACTGACTTCACGCTCCTAACCCCGAAGGTCAACAAAAATAACACAGGGTGTGAAGGAACCAAAGAAAGCATGCTTCGATTTTTGAAGCAGAGCTATAATCACTACTCGCACCACATATCGGATTTCAATAAACCCAGACACCCTTTTTGTGAGAATTACCATGTAATTAAGTTACAAATAAACAGGACAGACTTCCATAAATCTTTGTCTGTCTCACTAACCAAACTAGGATGGGATGCAGAGTTTGGAAGAAGGGATACTACAGATCATAAATCTGATCCAGTGTATCAACTCTCATCTCTGGCATAGTTACTCTTGCTGATTCTCAGGTGATGATAAAAGTCATAGCCAGCTCCACGAGGAAGGCTACTTCCTATCCTGTGTTAAGCTTCTCCTACATGCCTTGATGGTAAGAGCAACCTTTATTTCTTGTAACCTATATGTAATAACCATTTTTAGTAAACTGTCCCAATCACTACCTTAACCTTATTTCATGAAAATAAATTATAGGAAGTTTTGTAAGGTAATCAATAGTTTTAAAAAAACAGTAATTTTCAAACAAAATGTTCCTTATTCTTGTACTCTAGGAAAGGACGAAAACTAGAATATCACAAAGAACCCTAAGTAGCCTTCACTAATAAATCCACAACGACTGACACAGCATCCGACATGATTAACCTCAAAAATCAGCTTTTTTTTTTTTTTTGTTACAAGATGCACTAACACAACATTTTTAAAGAAGTAAAAAGCAACTAATTTACATGGTTTCCAGTGTAGACAAATCCATTAACCTCTAACAGCTGAAATTTTTTAACACCTTTGGTCATGCCACAGGTTGAAAGCATAGCTGAACCAGTCAAAGATGGATGATGTCAAAGCTAGGAGGCAGGTTAAAGCATAGGTTGAGAGAAGATGAACCTGTTTTTACTTCATTTAAGCTACCTAAAGAGGGAAGGGGGGGGGGAGGGGAAGAGAAGTCCTCTTCATTAAAGCTCATAGACTGTAACACCAAGGATCCATAAATACACACCTAACAAACAATATACCCAGCAGCAGCATTTTGTCATAAAGGCAGAACCCTCTTTTCAAACTCCTTAAGATTAGACTAACACCAAAACTTCTGGGATCTGCTCCTGTTCCTCCTCTTACCTACAGCACAAACACTTCAGACTTCATTAACCACATTCTCCCAAGGGTTACTAGCCCTGTCTCCTGTCCTGTAATCTACCAGGCAGCCACAAGCATAAGACTTCATTCAGCTGCTTAACCTGCCACTCCAGAACATCCTCTGTAGCCTCAGCCATGCTACAGAAATCAAGTAAAACATTAAGAAATTTATCTGCACTACCGATATAAGATGCATCAAAATAACACTTAGGAGAAATTAAGCTATCAACACAGCTACTGGAAGTTGGAAAAAACTTCACTTTGTACCAGAAATCAATTACTTAACCAATTATACTCTGATCCCTCAGTACAAGCACTCATCTGTAGCACATATGACTAGCTTCAGAATCTAGCTTTCCACCTCATCACACTCAAGGTACTTCACATTTAAGGTAACAGCCCATTTAAAATTTAAGTATGCATCCATACAGTACGCTCCACAACATTTAAACAAAAAACTGGAGGCAAAAGGAAAAAAGGCTCGAGTAAACATTTCAGGAATTCAAATTAGTAGGTGTCCATATATTGATGAAATGGCATGCTGCTTCTGCGAGGTATTTAGAACAATACTGTTCATCTTCTGGCTACAAAGGTGAATTTGTTTTCCGCATAGTTTGCTCTTACGGACTTGCTTTTCTAGCAGTCTTTACAAGAAAACCGACAATGATTATTCTGATAAAAGCAACCTACTTTTCCTACTCGCAGTGTTTCCTCCAGAGCCTTCTACCACAGGAATGTGTAAGATGACAGGGGTCAATAGCTCTCCCTTTCCTCCCAATTGACAGTACTCAGAAGCAATAACAGCCAACCTGCAGCTCACATCTGGGACATTATTGACTGCAGCAGCAGCTCAGCTGCTCTTTCTCTCAGGGGAAAGACAGCAATAAACAACAGAAAGTAAACCTAACACTTCCAGAAGTGCCAGATGTGGTCAGAGTTTCTCCAAATGTACAATAAGTGGGCAAGAAAGACTGGAGTACAGACTTTCCTTGTTGCAAGAATAAACTAAGGGACACAGCCAGCAAGAAAGGTCAGGCACAAATGCTTGTCTCATGTTCTCTATTTTTTCAGTATTCTCATTCACATAGTCTCACTTTTCCACACGTCTTCAACCCAAGCTCCATGCCCTATTTTTGGCATATGGCACTAGAAGTATACAAGTTCATTCTCTGCACAAATTCCATATTTATACTTCTTCCTTTTTCATGTCCCATTTCAAATACAAAACAATACAAGGCATTAAGTGGGGCAAACCACTATCAAGCTTTAATTTCTTTAGCCTTTCACTTCCCACATCTGTAAACTTACTTAGGAAAGATTTCTGATTATCTCCCCTATCACCTCCTGCTCATCTCTTCAGGCATGTCAGCAGAAGTTCCTGCTCATTTATTTTAACAGTTTGCTGGATTAGGTCTCATCTCTTTTGAGCCAAGAAGCTGAACAGAGAATTAGGCCACCATATTTGGGAAGTGCCACCTTTGACAAATTTTACCTGCAAGACTCTTCCCTGCTGCTGACAGTCTATGATGCCGGGGAAGAAAAATGAAGTCTGCAGACAGGCTACTCCAAAAGCTTCTGTAATACCTGTATTACAAAAGCAGCTTTTTCCCTAAAATGAGCCCCCACCCCAACCCTTTTCCCTTATGGCTCACCAAAGAGGAGATCCCAGCCAAGCTATCTTACTAGGTCCATCAAAGTAGGACTCCAGCAAGTGACGTGTCTCAGATGAGAGTAAAAGCACAGACAAAAAGCAAGCAAAGAGAAAGAGATAAGGATATGGGCTAGCTAGGAGTTTCTATTAAACAACTCAGCTACACAACATAACTGAAAAAAAGACAGGGTTGGGCATTATCTGATGGGAAAAAAATTCAGGTAGTTCGTTTCTGGCAAAATATCACACACATACATAAAACAACTGCTACAGCGTACTTCAAAATGTTAACAGTCCAGACTTCAGTTTCACTGAAATATTCAAAATCCAAAACATTACTCGTCTTAGTATTTTAAGGAATTACCCCACACACAATTAAAAATAAAGATACAGATCTCCAAATACAAAGTAATTGCCTAACTTCTCAAAAATAACTGCTATAGGCAACTTTGAAAAGACATTTGTGCATCTTACTGACATGTTCCAATTCCAAAGCGATAAACAAAGTTCCAGGGTTAAAAAGAATTAAGGCTTGTTCTGTGATCGTATCTAGATTTCTGTCCATCCAAATATTAAGCTACAAAACGATTTTAACTTTTGGAGTCACCACCAACACTTCCAGATGAGAAATTAAGTGCATCACCCGATGTGCCATTTTGGCAAGAATAATTTTCAATATTCAGCCTTGGAAGCACAAAATAACATCATCAATAGAGTTTTTAAATTCACATCAATTCTAGAGTGTATTCATATTTTTATTATCTCACCTACAACATCTCTGTCAAGAAGGCCAGAAGATGCTATTTAAACTTAGGCTAATGTCAGGAAGTACTTACTTTGGAACAAAGCACTTTAAATGTACTATGGTTCCCTTATAGGTTTATTACCTTTGCCATGACTTCAGGATCTGGGTCTTCTATAGGGTCAGCCCATTCAACCGTAACAACATTTCCCCAGACTTTCACTTTGCCGCTCATTAACCTACGTCTGGCCTGAGCGGCAGTTTTGTGATCTTCATATTCAAGGAAACAGAAACCCCGGTTCTTTTTCTTGTCATCAGGCTGATGATACAATATGACATCTGTAAGACCCTCTGAAATTAAGCAAAATATTTATTTGTTATGGCTTCAATCCGTGAATTTGTATTATAAAGTAGGGATTATCTTTCTGGTAAGTATACATCTAACAAGTGGTTCCAAAAAAGCAGGAACACGCTAGACTTTTGAGATCATGTACGTAATAAAATTTCCCTACATTCAAAACCAACATTTTCAAAGAGACATTAGACTACCCCAACTCAAGTTCCATTTTTATTAAGTGAAGAAAGCTTAGTAGCTATGGAAGAGTACCTTTCCTCTAACTGAATGGAGAAGAGATAAGGGCAGCCAAAAGTTGTGCTTTGTCAGTTCTCCTCTCAAACCCTTAAGTCACACCACTTATCAGCATCTGTTTTTTCCATGGATGTCTAAACAACAAGAGATCAAACCTGCATGATTCTAAGACACCTAAAAAGTTTCAGTGTTGTTCCAAGGAACCTTAAGTATATCATTCAGTAACAGAGAAAGCCATTAAATATTACCTTTGCCAATTTATATGCCGTTATCAAAAAGAGATCCTTATCAAATCACTAAGAATTCTGAAGCACAGAACTAGTTACGTTCTCCGACCTGCTTCAGTTTTGCCTTGAAAAGTTTTAAAACATCTATTAGAACTAAAATAACTAAACCATCCATTTCTTTGAATAGCTTTTTTAAACATTACACTTATTCTCTAGGTGAAACTTGGAACCACACATCTAGTCTAGTCACAAATATTTCAACCCTCAGCACAACAGTTTAAAAAAAAAAAAAAAAAAAAAAACACCAAAACAAACCACAACCTAGAAGTCAAATGCTAAAGAGACAAATGCTGAGTGGTCTTTGTTTGGATTAATCATCATTCAACCATAAGCCAAGAGTTCATCACTCATCATGTTTGACATCTCTCCAGCTCTACAAAACCTAGTTATTGACTTACCTGTTACTTTGCTAAATTCTTCAACAATTTGCTCCTTGGTTTTACTTTTCGGAATAGAACCAACAAAAAGCCTATTATTGGCAACAGAGATGCATACACCAATGTGTTTTCCAGAACGAATTTCATGGTTGTTGTACTGAAAGAAAAACAATTGGACAATCATCAGTTACAGATAATTTCCACTCCCCTCCAACAGCAGCATACCAAATATTTTACTTTTGCAAACACAGCATTTAGTAATATTATTAAATTCTTTGGCACTTAACACATTTTTATGATGCATATTCAACTGTTCTGAAGTATACTCATGTTCTCTAAGATACCTCCACAATTTCAGTCAACAATTATTCTTCCCTTCTTGTTCAAGCCTCTTTCTTAATACATGTTTCTTTAGAGACTTTTTCATGTAGAACCATGAAAGGTAAATCTTATGTCCAAGTCATCAAGGTCAAGGCTTCCCCCATCACAACAGTGCAGAAAAAAACCACAAGTTCCTGTATTATACCTATGAATTCTTGAATTGTGTATAATAGAAGACATGAAGTTACAATTAAAGTCAGATTCCCTTCTAAAGTTCCATAGTTAACAAAAGAAAGAGAACCATGGTCAGGTCTTCTCCACAAAATGTGTAAGAGCAATTGGCAAATACTTTCCAAAGCACACAGACTACACATGTGAAGATAGTAAACAGCAAGAACAACCTTCTACTGACTTGAAATCCTAAGACTTCTGATCAAATCCTTCTCCCATAACAGATTGTTTAGAAGACACCCTGAACAAGTCAGCAGTTTAAGAAAAAAAAAAGTATTACTGTAGACATCTGTTGACAAAAAATGCCTTTCACTGAGATGCAGACACAGGCATGCATCATCCAAATAAGCAGCAGGGAGGTCAACTGGTGGTACATCAACCCCTTTCCAACTGGAAGCCCTGCAACAGACAGTTCTTTAGCTAGGAAAATGTATTTCGTGGTCAACATCTTATTGACAAGTAGCAGGACAGCTTTTTAAAATTTAATCTAGCTATTTATTCTATGAGTTATTTTGTGTTGAGTGGTAAACCTTCCTGCAAGTTCTCCCATGCCCCTTCTTGCTTTGTACACTAAAATCAGGATGAAGATGTTTGTTTATTTATATTTATCTCCTGCAAACGAAAACTACATCACTGAAAATATTCAAAGCTAGACAACTGCACCAAAAGTGAGCTAAAAGGAGAACTGTACATGTGAAAAGGATCTCGAGTGGCATCTTCCCAACTAATTATGTCTCAAAACATAGTAGGATACAGTAGAAGACTTCCGTCTCTGTATCTGTTGCCCATGTGGCAGAGGAATAGTTGATTTTAAAGTAGGAAACAGCTATATAGGAAGACTGTATATATATTATTATGATCACTAATAGACTTACATTAATGAAAAGACAGATTACAGTAGCGCAAAAAATACTTTAAAGAAACACCTTTAAAAAAAGCTGACAGTTTATTAGTTTGGAAACAAGACACAAACTGATTCTTCATTAACTGAAGTGTACATTAGGAAATATTTCTTTACATTAGGAAGCATTTTTTAACCGAGAGGGTGGTCAAACACTGGAACAGGCTTCCTAGAGAGGTGGTCAATGACCCATGCTTGTGAGTGTTTAGAAGAGGCATTTGGACAATGCCCTTAATAATAATGCTTTAACTTTTGGTTAGCCCTGAAGTGGTCAGGCAGTTGGACTAGATGATCATCGCAGGTCCCTTCCAACTGAAATAGTCTATTCTATATGGATAACAGAAGATATTATCTGACTCTTCCTGTTTAAGACCAAAGTTTCACTACACATTTAATCCAAAAAAAGCCTCTCATACAACTCATGGCAACAAAATAATAACTTAAAAAAAAATAAAGTATTCTACCATATTGCAATTCCACATTGACAGTAGTTTCTAATAGTTTTTTCATAGTACAATACATTAACTACTACTTCTCATTGTACGTTTCTCTTAACACAGAGAAAACAGTCTTGAATTAGGTGCTCTTGAATATAAAGTTGGTGGGTTTTAGCTAGATAGTTTGCATACCATCTGTAAACTTAGATTAGACATGAACAGGCCCAAATCGTGATCTGGGTAAAGTGCCAAAACAGTCAGGCTACCGAATTAGCTATGTCAGCACACTGCTTCCCCCTCCTGTCACCACTGAATCAATGCCCGAAGTTAGTAACAGAGATACTACTACCCTCTAGACACTATAATAGATTTTTTTTTTCCTTTGCTAAGTTCTGTAAGAACCTACTCACAACCAGGTCAAAGTATGCATAAGGTCTGTCTTGTCATTTTATCCACTTAAACCTTCATCAGCAATTTTAGTTTATTTCCAGCAGCAAATGGCAAGTTGTACTGCTATGCATAGCTAGCAAACTGCTTAAGGGGCACATTTGCATAACTCACCTGTACCTGCACTTTGATCAAGCTTACACTTGCTCTAGTCAAAAATACACTGTATGCTACTATAGTTTCCAGTATGTTTTCCTACAAGCATTTATCCTGTACATGTCTACAGTAACCTTAATCACTCAGAAATCTTTTGAAAAACTGAAATCTAACAACTTCATATGAAATAGAAGGGACAATTGAACATGTGTGCAAAAGAAAACAACTGGAGTTATAATTCTTAACCAGTATAAAACAGAAGGTAAACACAAACATGTTAACAGGGAAAAAAATGCCTGGAGTTAAAAAAAAAAAAAGAAAAATAAGACTTCTGATAGTCAGTGCTTGTGTGAACATTTGAGATGCCAGTTGTACTTAAGCAGCAAAGGTTAACCACACTGGATTAAGTACTGGACATAAAACTAACTCCTGTTCATATCTGTAAGTCTTCGCAGTATCAGGCCACAGCATCACTCCATTTTTGTCTCAAGCACAGCCCCAAAGGTATTTCAAACACAATTTAGGGAATTCTCCCCCTTTTTAAGTGGCTTAAAAATGCATATGCATAAACAAAACCAAGGCTTCAACCTTTTAAGTTGCATGATTTCTTCTGGTTATTGAATAGGGTTAAGTCAACATTAAGTTTATCCAAAAATTTTAGTTCAATTTTACATTAAGTTGTTATAAAGACTGTGGATGATACAACAGACACACAAATAGGAACTGTATGCAAAGTATGTTACACCAACTGCAAGAGCCTGAACACAGGTCACGTTATTCTCTGCTGCAGTTTGGGTATTGACAAAACCTCGTAGCTGTCTCTTATTACTCAGAAGCCTATAGGCAACGCACAGATTTTTTTATTCTCATTTTTGCTATACTTCAGAGTCCTGAATAGGAAAAAAAAAAAGCCTCTGAGAAGAAGATGGGAAATAACAAAAGAACCCCTATCCCGGGGAGTCCAGAAAGCTGGGAAATAAGTTGCACACACATCAGAAGATTATAGTATCAAAAAGAACACCACCTGTTAAGACACGAGGATATTAAAATGGCTAGGACCAAGGGTTCAGCATTTCTAAGAGGTCTGTCAGCAGCCTCTCCCATGCATGTGTAACTAATACAAGTGATAGACACATGATTTTCAACTGAGCTCTACAGCCATATTTTGCTAGTACCCCTGCAAATCACTCCTAGACAACTTCGGAAACTTACAATGCACCAAACTAGCCAGCCAACTAGGGTTGGAACCATTGAAAAGCTGACAAATGCCACAGGATCTGATTTAAAACTAACCCTGCCCTCAAAGAGGTTAGCAGGAAGGTTGAAAAGCTGCCCCATCAATCACAACACTTTTCAACTATTACAGTCAGTGGCTATTTAACTGAAAGACAGAACACAGTGCTTTTTTTCCCCCTGCATATCAAAGATCAGATATAAAGGGACACCAAGTACCTCCTTCCCTTGTATCATTTAGTGGAAGACTGAGGCTAGGATCTGATGTTACTTTTATGGAAACACAACCTGAATGACTTTTCAGAGCATGCTGCCTTTAAGCAAAATCCAGCTAAGTGAAGAAAAATTCCTTTTTGTTCGTTTACTAGGTGCCTCTGAGAACGTATTTGATTTGATTCACTGTTTGGCTAAGCCATGTGCATAACTCTTAAAAGTTCACACATGATATAAATAGCTAGGTTGACAACGAAAGTACGAAGAGGTATAAGCAGTTATCCTCAGTATATTTGGATTGCGCACAGGAACACCAATCGTTCCTATTTAAAAACCTAAACAGTATATTCCAGATATTTTTGTGCTTCCACTTTTGTACACATTTCTATACTTTTTCAAAACACATTCCCACCTTCAGCTTGATTTGTCTCCACCAACTGACTTACATGACTATTATGTCAATAGGGTACCTTAATGGTTTAAGATGTGCCTTATTACAAAACAGAGATTTTAACCCGACTATACTAATACAGTATCAGTACACCTCAGAATGAGTACGGTTAGCACTCTTGAGGGTCATACCACACACTGATCTTGGCCCTATCAATGCAGTAGTAACTGGCTCAAAAAATTCAAATTCAACTTAACTAGAAAAACAAAGGGGCAGTGCGAGGATCAGGGTGTGTTTCTTTTCCTCCTTTTTTTTTTTAGTGATGGATACTTCACACATAAAATCTGGAAAGCTGAAGAGTGGCCTATTCCTTCTATCAAACTATTTCACGCCTTTGTGTAAAACAGAGGAAATGTTTTTTAACCTGGCAGGATTTACGACTTTTCCCAATCAGTTGCAGCAAACAGAATGGACCTTAACACTCAAGAGCGATTATTTCCCATGCGAAGTATCTAATGAAATTCTGTGACTTCAGAAGCGTGTTTCCAGCACGGGGCCCCCTGCTGGTGCACAGGCAAATCAGAAATCACAGACAGCCCCACCAACGATTCCCTTGGGCCACAGCAACCCAAACACCCCTCCTCTCCAAAACTCATCCAGATGCAGACAGCTCAGAAGTCACTACTGCTAATACAACCTTTGTTAATAATAAAGGCTCATCTAACTGGACAGAACAGCAGTGCACTGGCTTTCCCCCATCCCCGACCCTAATACAGCCAGTAAAAATCTATAGCAATGTGGAAATATTTGAAAACATGTAGTGGACATTTACGAATGTCCGAAATGACAGTTTCATCTTAAGCATTTAAGCATTAGGATCAGGACAACTGCTTATAAGCCAGAGAGTGTTCTTAAAAGAAAAAAAATCCAAGTAAGAAAACTTACCAGTTTAACAGCTTCCTGGGCTGCCTCCTTAGTACAAAAAGTGACAAAAGCATATCCTCTATTTAGACCAGTTAGTGGATCCATCATTAAGCGGAGATCCCATATAGGGCCAGCTTTCTCAAATAATGGAACAAGTTCATCTTCAAACAAGTCTCTTGGAATCTTGCCCACAAATATCTACAAGAGACATACAGAGTGCTGTTTATAAAAAAATACTTCCAATGAATAAAAATACATCGACACAAACATCTCCTTCTCCTTACCTCTGTACCAACAGAAGGCTGTTGTCCTGAATATACAGACTCCGGAGGAGGTCCACCATACTTTCTCTGTCCAGTAGTCACATCAAGAGTGTAGCCGGTTCTCTCCAAGAGTGCCTTCAAGTAAGAAACTTAAAATTTTAAAATCATATACAAATTGAGCTAGTTTAGATGCGCTTCATTCACAGACAGACATGCTTATAATTCCTCTTAAACTGTACTGCTTTGAAACTCCCACACGCAAACAAGCCTACTGCTAGTACTTCAACAAGAAACTTGCAAACATTAGAACTATCAGGTAAAGAAACACTGCTAGAAAATTAGGAGATTCATACAGAGTTTTCCCAATTCCTTCATTTTCATACAAAACAAAAGGCCAAGTAATAGAACAGCGAGCTTCCCTTTAATTAGACAGATCTTAGTCTGAGCCACTTCTTGTTTTGGCACGTCCAATCCTGCAAACATTTATGCACAGGAGTTCCCTTCACTTAATGAGATTACTCATAAGTGTGAAGTTAAAGAACACGTTTAAGTGCTTACACCCCTGCAACGCTGTACTGACTGCTTCAGGTATCCCACCACTGAAGTGGTAGTACTTCCCCCCCCGCCCCCAATTCCTTGTGGGCACATACAGCATCCCAGCACAACTGATCCTCACTAGAATCACTGCATATGGTTACAGATTATAGTACCGATTTAAAACGTTAGATGAAACTCAGTATGCAAATATATGAGAAACTCCTCTGAAATCAGTCTTTAATAATTCTGTACAAAGACAAATCAACTCTACACACAAAGACACAGCACATTAAACAAGCCCAATTATAATCAAGAGTTAGTAATTTCACAACTGGAAAATTGCAAAGTTACTTTAAATGCTATAGCCATCAGCAGTAAAAGCTATGCTACTTTAAGTTAGTTAACTAAGTCCTCATACTGTTGTTTTATGTGGTAGTGACAAAATCTGTATCAGTTTTTTTTGAATATATAATTAGTGGCATCCCAGCCTCACAGTCAGGAGAAAAAAAGATTTTCTAGTTTCGCAAGCTACATAGTTACTTGTAATATATAACACATTCATTTTGCAGTTTACACATGAAAAGTTAAAGATGAAAGATTCTCTTGCTTTTTAAGACATCAACTAAGCATGCTTAGATGGTTTTCCTTTCCTTAACCTTTGGTAAAGTCGCTCATCACAGAATTTTAAAATAAATCATAGCACGCCTAACTCTTGAGACAGGAGTCTCTTGCTAGCAGGAGACTCAGTCCAAGAAATAATGAGTCCATTACCAAGACTGTTTAGAGTGCAGTTTATGAGAACACTGATTATGTCATAAGAAGTGGGCTAAATCCTAAATCCATTACAATCTGTCTTTTCAGACACGTGTGGTATCTCCTCCCTATTGCAGTTCCTTTAAACCTGAACTGAAGGGGAGGGGAAGAAACAAAAACCAACCACCAGTAACTGAAGTTACACATTCTAAACTCAAAGACCTATGCTGACAAGTTTCCAAAAACTTTTAACTGTGAAATAGTAGAACTGTCTCAACTAGATGTAAAGCGAACTGTCAAATCTTTTTCACTTTTATATACATTCAGTTCCAGTAATTCACAGTATATTAAGTTTCCTCTTGAAGGGCATAAAGCGTAAGATAAAAATGCAAGTGACAGCTTTCATATAATGACAAATAATCCAAAATAGCCTTTTTAAGAAAAGCACAGTTCCAAAAGAATCAAGGTATCTGTCACAAGAGCTTTGAAAAACCAGAGAGACCACATGACTTTTATCTTTTAGGCACATACCTTAATTTTTGCCTCATCTGGTCCTTTGCTAGAATCTGCCACCTTGGTCCCCTGTTTTTCCCTCTGCCTGTATGTCTTCATGACTCCACATAAAAAGGCACTTTTGTTCTGCAAAAGATATATTGATCTTCAGTTCTGAAAACATGACAAGCCAGAATCCAATTTTACCTTGAACTAATACAGTGCCCGTTTTACATATCACGTATGGATCTCTGAAGAGACTTAAGCAAACCTCCTGCCAGTCGACTAGCAGTTTATCCCTCAACAATTACATTCTGAATTGCTTAACATTACCTGAACATGTGAGAGATCACTGTCTTTAAACTGCTGAAGCACTGCCAATGCACCTTCTTCATTAAATTCCTTTAAAGCTTCAATAGCTCTTTCATCTAGATCACTATGTGCAACTAGCCCTAGAGAAAAGAAAAAAAATTACTAATTAAATTTGGGCAGCAATCTTTGTTTAACCACATTTATCACATGTAATGCATTTCAGTGACCCCTAAATCAATTACCAATTAACGTAAGTTACTATACCTAAGAAATCGCTTAGTCCTCTTAAAGGTAAATATTTAAGTGTATTTAACCTTTTTTTCATCAAAAAGTATCAAAAAAAGTTAAGATTCAGAGTAACAGTTACTGCATTTGTGTATTCGTTTGAGTTCTGTGAAACCCAGATGTTACAGGGGCTATGTTAATTTTCAATATCCTGAAGCTGAATTCAGAAGGATCTATCAAAACCTGACTCAGCTTGCCTAGCAATGGATGGTACCTTGGTACATTTTGAGAAGACTATAAAGCTAAATAAACTGCAGCACTAAAAGTGACCACCACAATCCAAAAATCAAGCTTAAAAAATGCTAGCTATTACCATGTCTGAGAGAACCAACACAATAACCTTTGCATCCATGAGCCCAACTACTATGTCACGAAGTATCATTTACATGAGAAGATGAATACCAAGCTTCAGTTACTTGCAGTTACCTACAACTACTGTAAAAAAATGCACAAAGACCACATCACCTACTCCTCCTAAAAATCATCTGTTGCCTGTTCCAGCTGTTGGTATGGTCACCTGCACACTTTTCCTCCTTCCCACCCTTCAGCCCAAGTGGCCTGGCCCAAGACTTTTCTCTGAAAAATACTACGACAAATTAAGACACTGAATGGAAAACGTCCACAGATTTTGGTAAGACTGCAGTTCCCATACTTTTGGAAACCACAAAAAGTTGCTATTTTAGCCCAAAGACAGCAGAATCCAATAAAATACTGTAAGTGTGGTTTTGCAAGTTTTACATCTTACCTGCAACGTAAATTTCATCTAGTTTTTCAGCAACTTTCTGTGGTAAACCAGCATCAAGCAATGTCTGGAAATGCTCAGAATGGGTAACTGCAGCAGAAGTATCCATGGGCTCTTCAGTACCATTCCCATTAACATGTTCAGTAGCCATGTTTCCAGATATCTGTTTAAATGCAATAAGCATCATAATTAAGCTAAAAATATCTTCAAGTAGAACAATTCAAGTGAGGGGGGGGGACACACGACACACACACGACACAAGACGTAGACCACTTCCCTAATACTTTGTAATTTTGGAAGACGCACGAAATTCCTCAAAAGAAGCACTAACACAAAGGAAAGCCCTAACACCACTGCCTAGCGGGGGCGGGGTAGCTTTCACTGCAGGTTTTACACAACCCAGCCAGACACTCTGACTCACCTCCCTCTGTCTCTCTAACACACTCCCTAAGAGGCTCTGAACAAGTTAGAAACGGAGCAAGAAGCCAATGGCGGG